GATTGCTGAAGAGTCAATGAGTCGATGCAATCAGCTGGTTTTCCTTAGATAGAAAACTTTGAATCAATCTGACTGGATGATCTGGTGAAAGTATAAGAAGTAAACTGTTTTTAGATTCCTACCCATTTGTACTCTGTCTTTGCACTGCATATATGTATTGTAGTAAATACTTCCCTGCATATTATATCAAAAGAAAAACAAACAGAAATATAAATGATTAAAAATTATCTAGTAAATTGTATACTCCTTATATACCTATATAATTTATGTATTTTATATTCTGTTATTAACATGTTTTGTTTTTTATTCAGCTGTTCCAAACAGTCACTTCACAGCTAGATAAGCAAACACTTTTCACTGTTGTTCCTGCTTTTTGCTTGGTTCTTAAAATTCACATTTCACTCTTAGATTTTATCCTTCTTATACGATTAGGATTGTTGAAATGAAATCAGATAAAGCACCAAAACCAGTTTTATACTCTTTATTTTTTTCTATTCCAAAAACCTTAAAAAACAATCCACTGGACTTTGTTTCCAAGTTTGAAGATATTTAGCGTTCCATTCAGAAGCTTTTTCAATTCAAAATCTTTATTTTCTGTGTTTCTATTAAACATCAAAATAGAAAAAAGAAAAGACAGCAAAAACAAATAATAAAGCATGAGCAGTGCCACAAACAAATGGAAAATAGATTGGTCTTAAAGTCTTTCTATTGAGTGGGTAAAAAAAGAGTCAATGTGTTCCATTGTTTTCCAAGTTTGCCTGTTTTTATTATTTTTTAAATTATTATATATCCTCCATAATGTTCCTGCATTGAGTCGGTGTGAGAAAAGCCTTTTCTCGGCCGGTTCTGAGCTTCTAATGACTTTTTAACAGACCATTATCATCCCCTTTAAGAGGGAGCTGTCCTCCATTTGGGTAGGAAGCAGACTATAGATATAAAATCTGTAGATGCTTCAGTGTCTTTTATCCCAATATCTGTTCAAATGTCTTCATAAATATTTCCCCAAAGGGTCACTTTTTTGCATGTCTGGAAAGCATTCGAACAACTGACATCTGATAGTCATGCATATGTTCTTTAAGTTAAAACAACAAATTAATTTGTTTACACCAAAAAATGCCAGGAAGACAAAACCTTCCACAGCAAAGATGTTTTGATTTATTTCTTCCATCATTTGGTCTCTTTCTGTAATCTTAGTAAAGGAAAAAGTCTGAAACTAAGGCACAACACCGCTGATATAAGAGGCATTATAACTATAAACTTTATGATAATTTATGCTTCTTTTTTTTTAAAGAAAAGCTATTTTTTCACAGAAATTATCCATTTGTTTCTTCTATAAATGTATAACTTACTGACCAAAGTAACAAGGCTATAGAGGTATTTTGAACATGGGTTTAACACATTTTTTAAATGAGGAATTTAAATCGACTGAAGTCTATTTAAAGCTGGTGTTATGGTGTTTCTAACTTGAGAAACATCATAACACCTGGCAACGAATCTCTGATTGTTGCTCCTCTCCTTTTTTTAAAGACTGACCCATAAAACCAACAGATCAAAAAACAAATGTTATCCCCAAATACATGTTTTTATATTACAGTGATTGTTTGTGCACTGCCTGCTGCCGGCATTAGATCCAAAAGGAATCCCTTGGGTGGAATAAACATGCCAGTGATCACACATGTATAATCCAGTCTCTCCTTATCAGCATCTGCTGTAGATACAGCACAACATCCCATGTACTCCAAGAAAGATGGATTTGTCCAAGAAGTTAAAAGAGGCACAAAAATCTATTCTAGTTAAACTACAGATAGAAAACCGATTGCATTTCTGTTAGATAATATTATAACAGATGTAGAGGGAAAACAGCGGCTTTTCATTTTAATCAGATGGCTTCATGACGGCTACAGTCACATGTGTGTTCCCATTATATGTTCTAAACCCTTTTAGCTCCACGTTTGCTTCAAAAGCAACATTTATAAACAAACAATATTGTGTATATACATATATAGACACACACACACACACACATATATATATATATATATATATATATATATATAAATAAAATATGTTTTTATCTGCATTTAGGGAGTCACGAGTCACATGTTCTGAAAGTAATCTAGTGTATATACATTATATATACATATATACACATATACATATATATACACATATATATATATGCATATATATATACACACACATATATATATATACATATATACACACACATATATATATACATATACACACATATATATATACATATACACATATATATACACACATATATATACTGTATATACATATATACACACATATATACACATATATACACACACATATATGCATATATACACACATATATACATATATACACACATATATATACTGTATATACATATATATACACACACATATATATACACACAAATATATATATACATATATATACACACAAATATATATATACACATATATACACACACATATATATACACATATATACACACAT